TATCTATCTATCTATCTATCTATCTATCTATCTATCTATCTATCTATCTATCTATGCCTAATTAGAGAGGCATGTGGAGTTATTTGTATCATCTTAAAGCTCGTTTATTTGTCTTTCCTTCAATGAAAAACATCCATCTATCTTGAACAGAAGTTGAGATATTTGAGATTGAAGGAGGTGGGGGTCGCCTGGTTTCAGAGGTAAAATTAGCGAGAAAATGGCCGATGAAATATGGTAACTTCTATAGTTTGACAGTTTTTAAAATATGAGAATGTACATATTATTTTAAGCTTTTAATCAACGCTTTTAAAAATAAAATTCACATAGAAATATGTTTTTATATATTTCCTAGTAAGGTGTTTAGCCAAAAAAGAAAAATTCGATAAATATTGGCAAACTGGCGTAAAAATGCCGGCTGTTTCTTCAATTTCATCATTAATTTTGACGAGCGCATGATTTCACCTCAATGCCTCACCCTATTTTGTTTCAGACGTACGTGGGAGATATCCTGATCGCTGTCAACCCCTTCAAAGACCTGGGTATTTACACCAAAGAGGTGAGTTCGGCTGCACTCTACATTCGATGTCATTCGATTCTTGCAGCATGTTTATATTCTGTTTGGCCCAATTGCTCGCTTGTCACTCATTTCGTTCTAAACTGTGCTTTCTCCATTCTCGCCTGTTCAAGCAACTGTCTGTCTGTCTGTCTGTCTGTCTGTCTGTCTGTCTGTCTGTCTGTCTGTCTGTCTGTCTGTCTGTCTGTCTGTCTTCCTCCCCATTTCTGTTTCCCCGAGTGTATGCTTGTCTTCCCATCCGCATGTCTATCATTTATATATATGTAAAGACATTTTTCTGTCTTATGTGCATACTGTATACTGAGTCCCCCCCCCCCCCTCAGCAATTTTTTCGGTACCCTTTAAAAGAATTTGCGGACTTTAAGCAGTTCGTGACATGTGAAAAGGGGCAATGCCGTAGCAATTAGAGCTGGGCGAAGAGTCGATTCCGGAACCGATTCCCACGATTAATACTACGGATGTAAAGTTCCTTCTCCTTTTTACGTAAACCAACAGTTTTCACATTAAAATCTTCTTTTTTTTAAAGAATCTATTTTTGAAAAATAAAAGTTGATGCTTCGTAGTGTTCCGAAATCAAGGTTAACCTAAATCCTGAAGACGCTCGGAGCCAACCAGGTAACCACCGGGAAAAAAATCACATCATTAGAAAATAAGTAATTGGGTTCGGAGTCGATTCCTACGATTCCTAGCTTTCAATAATCGGGAACTCATCCGCCCAGCACTAGTAGTAATGCAACACAAATACACGCGTAGCATTGAGCGTCTCAAATTGCGAATTGAAAACGTTCGCCAAAAATGATATGGGCAAAACACACGCGGTGGAGGTGGGGGGGAGGGGGGGGGGGGGGAGAGAAAAAAACCCGCGAGCAATAAAAACCTGAAGCACAGTATTTCACCCCGGACCTTTTTGTTAGTATGGCTGCGCGTGTTTTTGGGGTTTTTTTTCGGTAGGATGGTGGGGTAGAGCTATACCAATCATCTGAAGAAGAAGGCATACAAAAGATCTTTTAGGGCAACACGAACCTTGGTACTCAATACACATTGGTTTTATAATATCCTACTCGTGTTTACTGCCCCTTTAAAAAATCGTGACCGTAAAAGAAAACCTATACGTCCTATTTGATATTATTAAATGGATTAACCCATATAATATAGCTAAGTATTTTATTCAGGGGTTAAGACCGTTGGCCCACTTCACGTAATAAATGCAAATATCGTAGACACATTTATTATTTTATTTTTCCGTGGCCATCAAGTGCAAAAGCTATTTTTGTTCTTTTCAGTTCAGCACCAGGTACCAGCACATCAAACAGAGCACCCACCCACCCCACATATTTGCTGTGGCAGATGCCGCATACCAGGCTTTGATGGGAAATGGCGGAAGACCGCCAGGGAATCAGTGTGTTCTTATCAGGTATATAATATACTACTGTGAAAGCAAAAAGTAGTTCTAGATAATATATTTTACGATATTTTTGAATCCACTTATAATCGATTTATCGACAAGTCATTCGATCAAATGAATTGACCTGAAGCATTATTCAATCAATAGAAAAGCGAACCTTCGATCGAACTGTGGATCATTCTATAAAACGGACCAGCCAATCTAACTGCATTGACAGCGCAGGATCACTGACTGACTGACTGAGTGACTGACTGACTGACTGACTGACTGACTCACTCACTCATTCACTCACTCACTCACTCACTCACTCACTCACTCACTCACTCACTCACTCACTCATTCACTCACCCACTCACCCACTCACTCACTTATTCACTGCATGAATCAGTTAATCATATGATCAAAGAATCAATATAGAACGAAACATTCTGAAACATGCACTTGCATCTTGTAATATTGGCTTTAAGATCATTAATCTAAGTTTATGATAGAACAAAATATTGTTGGGTTGGTACAAATACCTGTGGTGTAGCGGTAGGGTGCTTTGCCGTGACACGCAGACAACTCGAGTTCGATTCCCGAGTGGACGGATTTTTTTTCTTTTTTCGAGAATCTTAGTCTTTCTGCATAGATGTTGTATCCCTCTTTGCCCGGGTCAGGCCTGGCTGGCAGGATCGAAGATTTCCTCCTAAATGATCTAAATTGTGTCGATGAGGGTGTAAAAACACTTAAATCTACCCCCCCCCCCCACCCTTCAATAAATCTGGAGTTGTAACCCTTGCACTGAACCTTTCGTCATAAGTCTAGCTTCTAAAAACTTCCCTTGCTCTGCAGCTGGTGCTTGACGGGTGCTCTGGTGTGGTTTGCTCCTTCTTTCCTCTATCGAGCATCTATTGTCCGTATCTCTCCTTCCGTTTTGTGCTTGTTACTCTCTATTGACAGGTGGGTGATTGGAGGGTGCCACTGGTAGGTCTTACTTCTTTACCTTCCCCTCTGTTGATGCTGCCTGTCTGTCTTACTTTTCCCCCAGCACTAAACGACCATTATTGTGTCGATGTGCTTCTCTTTACTAAAACTAAAACAAACAAACACATATATCTCATGGGATACCTGTACAATCTTCTGCACTTATATGACCTTATTGTGTTGCGAGTGCCGTAAAACTCTTACTAGTGGGTGGTTGGCGGGTGCTCTGGTGTGGTTTGCTTCTTCTTTCCTATCAAACATCTATTGTTCTATTCTCTCCTCTTTCTTTTTTGTTTGTTTGTTACTCTCTTGTAGCACTCCTAATCTTCGGCACTTCTATAACCCTTTTGTGTTGCAAGTGCCGTAAAACACTTACTAAAACTAAAACACTTACAAAAACTAAAACTCTTACTAAAACTTGCTCTGCAGCGGAGAGAGCGGAGCGGGCAAGACAGAGAGTACCAAGCTGATCATCAAACAGCTGGTGGAGCTATGTCAAGGAAAAACACAGCTGGAGCAGCAGATTCTGCAGGTAAGTTACACTCTCAGAGTTTTTCGTAAGGCCACCTATATTCTCACCCCTTGTGAGGATAGCGCATAATCAAGGACCTTAAAACAAACACCTCTTTGCTCATGACCCGATATTCTCACCCCCACCCCGGTGTGGGCATGACGTGAGGACTCACCCCTGACCTCTCGCTGGTCTATAAAATCACCTTGGCCCTAGGTGGCTGACCGCATGTGGTTGGGAAATGACTCATGAAGGTTTGGTGCTCGTTTCTTCATGTAGGCCAACTACTGATTACCGTTGTCATAGCCTTAATAGAAAACAAAATGTTCCCCTCTGCTGATGTATTGGTCATTGTCAGACATTGAAAGAGGAACTGTTATTATTATTATTGTTATTGTTATCATTATCGTTATTATTATTGTTATTGTTATTATTACTACTACAATTACTATTATTGTTGTTGTTATCATTATTATTAATGTTGTTGTTGTTGTTTTTATAATTATTGTTGTTGTTGTTGCTGTTGCTTATTTTTATCATTATTTATGTGAAACCCAGAAGAACAATCGAAAAGCGATATTATTATATCTCGAACTCATATTTTTCTCGTGTCCTTCTGATTAATTTGGTGGGTGGTTGGCGGGTGCTCTGATGTTGTTTGCTTCTTCTTTCCTATCAAACATCTGTCGTCCTTATCTCCCCTCCTTCTTTTTATG